CCGACGCCCCCGGGAGTCCAGCGCGAACGGAGGCGCGGCCTGCCCGAGCGCGGCCCCTCCGCACGGGTGCGAGGCAGGAGCCACGTGTCCAAAGCGATCGGGAATCGGCTGTTACCGATCTGTATCTGATTGTATTCGTTCTTCATTTTTAATTTTTATTATACTGCTGTAATTTTTGGTGGGGCTGCTTTGCTGTCTTCCTCCGTTCATACATACCCCATATTTTATGCATCCTTTCGCACGTTTTCTTTTACGCTGTGTCTCTGTGCTCTGCGCACTCTCGCTTCTCTCCCTCCCAACGCAGTTAGAGTCAGGGAACCCCTGCTCATTTATGCCCCTCACCTGACCGCTCCTTCCTGCGTTTTATTCATTCTCAGGTTTACTTTTCTCTCCTCGCCATCTTTTCAGGGGTCTCCCGTAAGCTTTTTCTCTAATACTTTTAGCAGTCATGGAATTTTTTTCTCGTCCCCATTTCCCGCTACCAGTTTTGTGCAGTTTTCCCTGTTACCCCTATTTAACAGCAAGAGGATCAAGCCATAACATCAGCATCGAGCCATAACATCCCCAGGACCCGTCGCTCCCCTTCCTCTGCTCCTCTTCCCTCCTCGCGCTGCAGAGCAGAGGCCCTAAAATATCTTTCCCTGTTTCTCCTCTCCTCTTCTCTTCCTGGCTGGCGTTACCCGGGCTTCAGATAACTGACTCTATGCAATTACTGTTCAGCACTTCTTCACCAGCAGGGAAGACAGCCATCGCGCTCAGTGCGAATAACGGCGGCTCAAGGCGGGGCTTGTTAGAATGCTCGCGCGACAGCTGTGCTTTCGTCTCTAGGCTAAGGGAGACCCCCAAACAGGGTTTATTGTATGATGTCCCCGCACTATCCTGATAGACTCCCCTGGAGTGGACTAGCCTGTCACTGCTGCAGTTGACTTGGTCCCGTAGGAATAAGCCTGACTCGGGGCAGTTCAGTGCCACTGAACCTGTCTGCCAGATCCACCATGGCACCCAAGTGGAGGGAAGCACGTGTTCCCAGCACGCAGCTCAGACTCGAGCAGACCCTGCAAGAATGGCTGCAAGCTGGCAGAAGAGGTCTGAGCTTCCCTCAGCCCTGGGGCCTGAGCAGTTAGACCGTGGGAAGGAAGCTGCTGGGAATCACAGGTGCGTGGGGCCCGCTGTGTAAGGGCTCAGTTGCTGACCACGGTGCTGTCCGGCTGAGTTGGAAAGCGCATGCTCACAGCCTCTGAAAACAGGTAATGCTGCAGCTGCGGGCTGCCGAAACTCACTCAAAGATTCAGGGGCAATAAACTGTCAACCTTAAAGATCAAACAGTTCTCTTGACTGGCAAGATACACTGCCTTTCTTCTGACTTCTCAAGGCCTATCATTTTCATGGGCTTTTGCCTCAGTTGTGCCTTCCACTTCCTGTGTTCCTCTGAATTGTGAAGGAGACAATAAATACGGGTGACCCAGAGAATTATCTCCCAGATAGGTCTGACCTCCTGGAAGCCCCAAACCATATTTGCATTGTCGGTATTTAACCCTTTTCCATATGCTCAACTCTAAAATCCAGAGCCTGATCAGCTCCAGGTACACGTGCAGTATCTCCTTGGAATATTTAAGCCGAGTTCCCAGTAGACATCTTACTGGGTTAAGTTTTTGGCTCTTTCTTGATTCATTTAGTAGCATGGGGTTACTTGTTCTTTTATGGCTTCATGTGTTGTTAGGTGTTACTATTGTATGTCTGTTCTTCCGTTGGCTCCGACTGAGCAGGTGTCTAAGTGCCCCCCTTGTCACAGCTCTTTATTTAGTTTCCTCTTTTCAAACCCTGAGACAGTGTCACTAACATACCCTTTGGTTCTTTTCTCAGACACATCCTCTCCTCCTCCCAAGCTCCTCAGTCCACTGCGTTTAGCTCCCTCAAGTCTCTCCTGTCCTCAGGGGCACAATCCCCATCCTCCCCGTCCTGTGCCCTCCACTCTGCCTGTCTTAGCTCCTGTTCCCCCTCCAAGAAGCTCTGATGACCACGTAGCTTGCCCTACCACACAGTGAACATTCTTCTCCAGTATCCCACCCTTGTCCCCATTAAAGGTCCTCTGAAAACCCTCAGTGCTCACCAGAAGTGCTGCAGCGAAATCAGAACCCACACCCATGTTGCCTCTCATCCACCAGCATTCTCCCTGCAGGCCTCCCTCTGAGTGTCTGGATCTCCTCGTCCATCCTCACCTACCTCACATCAGAGCAACCACAGATGACACCCGGTCATAGTGAGCACAGAGAACAGAAGGGGAACTCAAGGACTCACGCAGAAGCTCCGCAGGATAGAATCTGTGGATGCGGTTATAACCACAGCCGTTCCTCCAGCAAAACACAGGGGCAGAGTCAAAGTCACTTAACATAAATAGCAGAAGGGGTAATCACTAACACTGGCCATACAAAGCTGGAAATTATTTATGGGGAGACAAGAGCCTACTACAGATCTCCTATAAGCCACAAACTGTCCTCGCTTCTCTAGTCCCCAGCTTGGACTAACCCCCCAAACATAGAAGGAAATAAAAGAGGGAGCCATACATAATTTTAAAGGCCTCAATATGCTTAACAGTTGTCTCTGTTATCCCTGTCCAGAGATAGAACATACCCTTAACATCAGCAGGATGCTTTGACCCTTCCTGTTGCCTCTTTCCCACACCACAGAGCAGAGGACTGAACCCTCACAACGAGCAGTGAAACTCACAGAAGTAGAGCAGCCACCAACTCCTAAAGTCCAGGACCCAGCCGGATCACTGCTGGATTCTACAGAACCTTTCAGGATGTTACATCACCAAATGCTTCAAGCTCTTCAGAGAAACTGAGAAGGACAATGTGCTCCCCAATTCACTTATCTGAGTCAGTACAGTATTATCCTGATCCCAAAACCAGATAAATACACGTATAAAAGAGAACTGTAGGCCAGTACCCTTAATGAACATAAATGCAGACTCCTCAACAAGATTTTAGCAAATAGAATGCAGCACATTATCAAGAAGATGATGCATCATGGTCAAGTGGGTTTCATCCAGAGATGCAAGGGTGGTTCAACATGTGTAAATCAATAAATGTCATACATCACATAAACAAGAGCAAGGTGCAAACCACATAATCATAATAATAGATGCAGAAAAGGGTTTTGACCAAATTTCACATCACATCATGAAAACATTTCTGAGGATAACAGGCATTGAAGGACTACACTGAAATATGGCAAAGTCTGTTTATGACAAACCCACACCCAGCATCATGCTACGTGGGAAAAGCATAAAGACATCCCACCTAAACTGAGAAACAAGACAACGATGTTCACTATCACCTCTTCTATTCAATAGTACTTGAGAAACATTAGCCAGAGCAATTTGGCAAGAGAAAGGAAGAAAAGGAATACAGATAGGAAAGGAAGAACTCAAATTATCATTATTTGCAGATGACATGACGCTCTACATAGAAGACCCAAGAGTGCCACCAAAACCACTTAGAATAACCAGCTCCAGCAAAGAAGCAGGACATAACAGCAACACAGAAAAATCATTGGCATTTATATATGCCAACAATGAGTGGGATGAGGAGAAATTTATGAAAGTAGTACCATTCACAATAGCTCCAAGAAAAAGGAAATATCTGGAAATTAACCTATTCAAGGAAGTAAAAGAACTCTAAAATAAAACTACAGTACTCTGGAAAAGGAGACTGAAGAGAACATCATAAAATAGGTAACCCCTGCCCCTGAATAGGGAGAACTGATATTGTCAAAACAGCTATACTTCCAAAACCTGACTTCAATCCATGCTACAAAGAAATAGTGGTAAGAAGGACAAAAACCAATGCATCATGGATCCATGGAACATAACTGAGGATAGAGAAACCTGCCCTGATAAAGTCGGCTGTTTGATCTTTGACAAATGGGCAAAGGTTTATGTTGGAGGAAAGATAGCCTGTTCAGAACTCAAAACATAGGAAAAGAAGGTGTCTCTAGGTGTCTTCACCAAAGAGTTGAAGTCATCATAGCACAGTGATACATGCATACTAAGATTTATAGCAGCTAACTCCTGGCAGTAGCTTGTATACCCATCAACAGACTAGTTAATGAAAGTGTGGTATCTATATATAGTGAAAATAATGGCATACTGCTCAGCTGTAAAGAATGATAAACTTGAGACATTTGTAGGAAAATGGATTCACCTGGAAAATATAATGTTGAGTGAAATAAACCAGACATAGGGGGCTGGGGATGTAGCTCAGTGGCACAGCACCTGTCTGGCAAATGCAAGGTTGTGAGTTCG